TTTAATGACCAAATACTTAAACAACACAAGCCAGAATCCAAATTATACCAAGTGACTTGCTATAATTCTGTGTGTACTTTCTGTTCTTTCAGTTTCTAATTACCTTGGGATTTTCAAGCATCAGTACAAAAATAGTTGACATATTTCTAAAGCCAAGAGTGTTTTGCATATAAAATGACTTAGCATTTCTCGTTTTATCTTTGAAGAAAACTGTAATTCTAAAAGCTCTTCAGTTTATAAAATGCCAAAAGAATAGCACATCCTCAACAATCTGAAGAATCTCCACAAAAGACAAAAACTAATAGTAATATTAGGAAGGCGATGGGGCTGAAATAATCCTAACTGCAGCATGGTGCATTTGATTTGTGTGGACTCAAAAAGAGCTCTAGCCCTCCAAACAGAGTTACAAGACCTTCTAAATAAAAGAGGTTCCAAAAAATACACTCAAAGCAGTTTCTTGATTTCATTAAGAACAAAGAAAACGTTTATCATTTAAAATCTTGTTATTTTTTGTTTACTTGAATTCAGGTTAACTCTATCTTATACAGAAAAAAATATTTAAATTCTAGATTACTAAACTGGGTGATGTTTTCTTTTTACAAGCAATTAATTCCAAAAAGCCTACCTAAATAATTACATAGTTTTTTGCAACAGCTGTAGAACATACTTTGCAATTTTTACTAAGAATCAACAAAAAATTACTATATTTGCTATTGGAGTTTAGAAACAACAATCATTAAAAACATCATCCAACAACAAATTCCTTCAAAAAATAAATTGAGATCAAAGCATGAAAGCATGTAAAATGATCAGAAAGGTAGCCACTGATGAATAATGCAATAAAGGACAAAAAAGAAATCTATTCACTGGCCAAAGCAAATTACCACAGACGAAAAAATCATTTGTGCCTTCAATTCCACTTTAAGTCTTAAGCATGTCAAATCCAAAATATCCCAGAACATGAGGGTTTTCCCTTTAAAAGCATATTCTCTGTATACCACTCAATGTTTGTTTCCTCCAACAGCTTGCATTTCATTATGCAAGTCTCTATGTCTTGTTTTGTATTATGAGCAACTCCTCTGTAAATCTTTCAGGGTTTAGGTGCTACCTGACTTTAGATTTGAAGAGAAGATACTGTGAAATACAGATTCAGTAAGCGATTCTCAAATGGGAAATGCTGTCACTTTCATGGAAATGTACAGTGGTGTTTTTGTTTTGTTTTGCTTTGTTTTCTAATTGTCACTAGGGAAATTCTACTGGCATTTAGAGCCCAAAGGATACTAAATTAATTGTATTATATAGGGCAGTTTTGATAACTCCTTATCCCACTCACATGCCAATACCTATTCTGTAGTGAAACAAACTAAACTGACCCCACATCTCCTGTGGATGCTATACCATACATAATGCCGGTTCAGTTAGCTCTGCTCAGCTATGCCACTTTCAACCCCATGTCTTTCTCCTCCTCTATTCAAGGTAATTACTGTTGCTGCCTGAGGCAAGGGTACAGACACCCTTATTCAATTATCTGTGATATCATGAAAAGAATTTAACTGGTGTTCAAGGAAAAAAAGGATAACAAAGAAAAAAGTGCCAGCTACCTGAATTTTCTGAATTAAAAATCATTCCTCTGGGTTTATGCTGCATCTTAGGAACTCACCTCCAAGAACTATTGTTAAACAATAATTATTTTTCTTGGTAATAAGTAAATAATATAATAAACATTTATAATATTTTTTTTCCTTTTGAGACAAGGTCTCACTCTTTCACCCAGGCTAGAGTACAGTGGCACAATCACACCTCACTGCAACCTTGACCACGTGGGCTCAGATGATTCTCCTACCTCAGCCTCCCAGAGTAGCTGGGACTACAGGCATGCACCACCACGCCCAACTAATTTCTGTATTTATATTTTTGTTTTGTAGAGATGAGGTATCACCATGTTACTGAGGCTGATCTCTAACTCCTGGGCTCAAGTGATCCACCTGCCTCAGCCTCCCAAAGTGCTGGGACTGCAGGCATCAAATACCGTATCTGGCCTATACTTCTATTTTTAAAATAATCAAAACTAGCCATAAATTCATGAGAATTATCATACAGCTAAACGACTAATCTGCTCTTTACTGAGTCATACTGCACACGAAAATGTGGGCTGAAATCAATCCTTTCTCACAGAGATTTCTGAACATTTTCCCCAATTGTTGGAATTAAAGAAAGACAAAAAGTACCACATAACTTTAAAGCTCATAAAAAAGTGTTCTTAGAAAACAGAATTTCCCAAGGCTCATTACAAATGCTTAAATACAGTATCCTAATTTTAGAACCACTATTATCGAACACAAGTAGCAGAAACACAACCTTAAAGTTTGTGCTATTTTCATTAAGAACCTAAATTTTTTGATCAACAGTCTTTAAAAGAGTTACTAGTCTTAATAAGAAATGCCCAGGCTATTTAGTAATCTGGATCTTTTTTGTTTGTTTGTTTTTGTGTTTTGAGATGGAGTCTCGCTCTGTCGCCCAGGCTGGAGTGCAGGTATGATCTTGGCTCACTGCAACCTCCGCCTCCCAGGTTCAAGTGATCTCCTGCCTCAGCCTCCCAAGTAACTGGGATTACAGGTGCCTGCCACCATGCCCGGCTAATTTTTGCATTTTTAGTACAGACGGGGTTTCACCATGTTGGCCAGGCTGGTCTTGAACTCCTGACCTCAAGTGATTCACCCACCTCAGCCTCCCAAGGTGTTGGGATTACAGGCGTGAGCAACCATACCTGGCCTATTAAGCAATATTGTTTTTGTTTCAGAATTCACTCATCATTCCATCAATCTACAGAGTAGAAAATCCAACAAAATAACTGTGGCCAATGGTAATGTTAATTCCTTCTACTTATAGTTTACCTTAAGCTATCTGAAATGACTTACGAAATAAACCAAGGTTTGAAAAACACAAGCATGTGAACAAAGAAATTAACAGGTGCCTTACATAAAGGAGCTCAGAAAACATTTTCGCCCTAATTCCTTTTGCAGTTATTTCACAAATAGTTTCTTTTCACTCTGCTTCTTGAGCAAAGATCCCCAATGTCTCTCTCTTTTAGGAGTATTTGCCTTGTCCCTGGATTAAAATTTAAGCCATGCCTCTATGGCCCTGGACTAAATTTTTAAATAAAATTATAAACACTCTTTCACACAAGAAACTAGTATTTTTATTATTAGTAGTCATAATATTAATCATATGTCCTAGTTACTATGTGCCAAACACCCTGATAATCATTTTATTTTCATTATCTCATTTACTTTTCATAATAGTTTCCTTTTTTTGAGACGGAGTCTCACTCTGTCACCCAGGCTAGAGTGCAGTGGCGCGGTCTCAGCTCACTGCAAGCTCCGCCTCCCGGGTTCATGCCATTCTCCTGCCTCAGCCTCCTGAGTAGCTGGGACTACAGGCGCTCGCCACCACGCCCGGCTAATTTTTTGTATTTTTAGTGGAGAGGGGGTTTCACCGTGTTAGCAAGGATGGTCTCAATCTCCTGACCTCATGATCCACCCGCCTCGGCCTCCCAAAGTGCTGGGATTACAGGCGTGAGCCACTGTGCCCCGCCCATAATAGTTTCAACATGGTATTACTGTCTCCATTTTACAGGTGAGAAAACTAAGGTGGAGAGCAGTAAATGATTTATCCAAGAACCCTCGGTTATAATATGGAAGAATCAAACCTAGGTCTAGCTGATGGCAAAGTCCATCTTAAAGTATTAATACTTTACAACACTATCTCTGAATTAAAAAAAAAAATACCCCAAGGTTTTATTTCATTATGAAACCCAAACAATAGCCATTCACCTCATGTACCCATCCTCCTGCAAAGTACCTTTAATAACTCAGATTTGCTTTGCCTTTACAGTCTCCAGATTGGAAGGACTACATTTTGAGAAATAGAGTCAGGTATTAAATCACTCAAGACAATGGAAGCCTTCAACTAAACAATATCCACTAACTCAGTAATAAGAATTCTAAATATGATAACACAGGCAAATACTGGTAGTATTTACTTTATCCAACCATACTTTGTTCCATAACAATCATATTAAAGACAGCTACCACTTACTGACTGCTTGTTTTGTGTCAAATGCTTACACTATTTCTATGGCAGAGATATTAACTCCATTTTACATAGGAGGAAACAAAGATGCAGAAAAAGATTTGCCTAACCAGCTGGTTAAATAGTAAAGCTTGTAATATGAACAGATTCTAAACCGAAGCTCTTTCAGCAGAAGAAAATGTTTCAGAATACCTCATAAAAAGCTATTGGGGGTTGGAGGGAGAACCCTGAGAGTCTTTCTGTCTTGCCACCTCTAAACAGATTCCTACTAAATGACAGTGTTCACATACATACTTTTGAAATTTTGCTTTATACAATTATTTCATTTAGAAAACCAATAGGATAAAGTTATTTAAATTAATTAAGGTATCTATTTTCTCTGTGTCCTAAGTATAAAAATAATTCTATCCAGCAAATGGATGTACACTATTTTTAATCAATTTATTACTAGATCTAAGTTAGTAACTGAGTTTAAGTAGTTTTAGAAATACTAATGCTATTTTATACACATCAATACAGGTTATATCAGAATGTTAACAGAAAACCCATAGAATGCTGCCTGCTTCATTCAGTTAAATTTAACTTACTACAAATATCCACAAAATCTATAAACACTTAATATCTCAATTTTTCAAAATTGTAAAATTTAAAAACAATCTTTGTTTGGCAAGAAAAAAGAACGTAGCATTTTTTAAATGTGCCATAAACAGAGGCAAACGGATTTGTTAATAACAAAATGCAGTGAGATTAATGAAGGACAAAGAAAGTTGAATTAGATCAGATAAAAGCTACTCTTGAAATGAGTAATTTGAGTAGTTCTATGGGATGGCAGCATTCTAAGAGTCAGCAGCTACTAAAGCCCCCACCTATTAGTTAAGGGTGATAGTGAAGGGGCAAGGGTACAGTACCTGATGATGGGGAGGTCGAGGCCCCGCTGCAAACTGAGAAAAGGAGGGAAAACAAACACAAAAGGAAAGGCACAAAGAGTCAGAAACACCACAACAAAAACCAAAATTTCACACAATATGCCAAAAGAAAAAAACCCACAGCGGGGAAATAAAAAACAACACACAAAACAGTCAAAGCTTTGCTGCAGGACAGTGACAGACAGGTACTAAGGTTCAACAGGTTAACACCACTATCAGAACAGTTTGTCATTTATCAGCTGGGAGAGAAACAGGCTATGCTGTTAGGCATGTAAGGTACTCTCTAATAGGACTATTTTTTTAAAAAACAACAACCCTAAAATAAGGCAAAAGAAAGTTTGAAAAATTAAGTGGTTATATTAAGACAAACGTGAAAATCAAGTATGCTGTATGTAACTGATACAGCTGGAGGAAATGAGAAAGTTTTTACATTACAAGACCTAACCAGGAGATAATTACAAAGTCCAGCAGGAAGTAAAAAATGTAAAAGGATTAATTGCAAATTTTCTTAAGTTAAATGGGATATCTTATCCATGAAATGGAAGTTTCAATACCTTAATTTCTTAAGAGTTAAAGAAAAATTTTTTATGACTTTACACACACACACACACACACACACACACACTTAAGTTTAAATGCAGTTAACTAGTATAGTTTAATACAAGGCATGTCAAGGCAAACAGCTAGTAAAGAACATCAGTCTCTAACATGATTAATCCAAGTGGTATTCTTATAGGCTTGAGAAGAAAAAAGAGTAAATAAGTCAAATCTCTTAATTACTATAGACAACAGCAAAGCACTGTGTATATGTACCTATTGTTATTTAAGAATAAAGCACTTACTACATAAGAAATTACATAAAGAAATGTAATTCCTCAGCTAAATCACTGAGTACTTGAAAGTGGCTAATATATATTCCAACCCTTCCACTAACTTAGAATAAAAGAAAAAGTTTTTTCACCTATGTGAATTTTAACTGCTAAACCTCTAGGATCAAATAATTCACCCGGCCAAATTTGGGTTTGAATACATTTTAATTGAAAGGAACAGACAAAAATATTGGGGTATGTAGAGCCATATTCTGGATACTAATACATTAGCTATTGTAATGTTAACCATCCTCTTCAATAGTAAAAGAAAATATTTAGAAAGCAGTGTTTAATGTAAACCATATACAGGGTTTTTATCTAATATATTTAAGGAGCTAAAATATATGTCTTTGGCTGTCTTATTTCCTCTATAGAGACTTCCTTCTGTCAGCTTAACACTACAGATGAATTAGATTGACGATTAAGAAACAATCTCTCATGATCAGCATTTAAGTTATGTGCAATACTGATTTGCAAAACATTTGGAATTAGTTCCCCAACTACCATTAGTTCATATTTTAAAATTTCAACAAATTACAGTAGAACACACGGCCACAATGTAGGAGACAGCTGAAAACATCTCTGTCAAGAATTCACCTCAGAAGCTAAAATGTCACCTGTTGTTCAAGTAATGAAAAGTACATTAATGACCTATAAGGTTGGGTTATGTTAGGTCAGCCATCATATTTGGCTAATCAATATAATACAGCTTTTCAGAATGATGATAACTGGCAGCTACAGTTCTTGCAGAAAATTTTCTCTTCAAAGAAACCGAGGTCTTACATTTTCAGTTTTCCAATTAGGAGAAGAAAACATCATACTTCTACTATGGACAAGAATAGGCAATACCAGGCATGTGGTATGAAAGTCGGGAGTGGAGCATGAAATGTTTCTTCCTGACACTTTTGAAGAAACTGGAAGAGAGGGGCCATGTTACAAAATTAACCTGAGTATGGCAGTACCTGTCTTATCACTGTTCCACAGAAAATGTCCCATTTTCAAGGCTCTAAAATAAAAGCTAAACTTTGTACAGTTTGAATGTTCCAGTCAAAAGAGAACTTTCTATGAACAAGAAGAGTATCTTATAAAATTACACATATATAAAAACAAAAGCAAGAAAGAAAATCCCAACTTAAGTTAGTAGAAAGTGCCCTAGGAAAGTACCCTAGTCTATTTTGCACTAGTCACCATTGGCTATTGAGTTTTTCATTTGAAATGACAATAGTCTTAATCCTATGGGTAGCTGTAAGCAACAGAACAAACTGTAGTCGCTGCTGGCTCATGTTAAAAATAGAAATTTTTCTTTCTTTTTTCTTTCCTTTTTGTTAAAGAAGGGTCTTTAAGATGGTGAGGACTGTAGATATAAAGGAAAGCGGCCTTCTGTGAACTTGCATCCAATGTTAATGCCACCCACCTACTTACTCACCCCTTCAATGCACAGTTGGTAACTGAGCATGGCCAACATAACACTGATATAATTTTGACACAATACCACAAATTATAAAAATAACCAATGGTTAGAGTTACTACAAAAGCCAAACTGTCTCCCTCTCCAAATTAAGTATTTAATAGCTTCACTACTTTAGACAGGCTATTAAAAACAACAACAACAACAACAACAACAACAACTAACACTGTTTAAAAGTTCCAGTAAAACGAGAAAATGGAACAGATAGCTTATCAGTGTTTTTATTACTTTTAAAAAAGATTTTCTTTCCATATTATGAATTTAACTAAGATTCTAAGCATCAAGTAGAAAGACAGGCACAAAGATAACCTGAAGGAGGGAGGGAGGCCATTTGAAGCCAGTTGGATTGCAAAGGCAGCTGTCCAGGGAAGAACAGAAAAGCCTAAAACTGTGCAATTGCCAATGGCCTATTAATGCAGAAATAGAATGGAGTAAGCTTTAGCTGCTCTACAAAGCCACAGGAAGAGGCCCTTCCTTAATGTAACAGCTTACCTCTCCTCACCAGTTGGGACAGCTATGAGATGGATGAGACTAGACTATGACAACTTGGGATGTAAACAGAAAATGCAATCGTGCCAAATTTCAGACCCCAACTTCACCCTCCCAGCGCCAAAAAAACAAAACAAAACAAAACAAAAAACACAACGGCAACAACAACAAAAAACCCATAACAAAATAAAGAAAATCAAACCTAAAACAAGAAGCAAGAGTAGTCTGGAGTCTGCTAGTCTTGCACTTGTTTTAGGGTATGTAATGGAATGTTATGTGTGTGGTTTTTAGTAATGGGGTGGGTAATGGTCACTAGCAGAGCAGATGGCAAAAACTGTATAGAGAATAGTATCTGAAGAGTTTATGACCACAGAAAAATGGCTGACAACTACAGACAATTTCCTCCTTAATATTCAATTATAAAATTGAAAGGGAGTAAAAAGAAGCCTTGATATTTATCTTTTAAATTCAAATTTATCTGAAAGGGATATCTCACTTCAAGTTTAAAATAAAGAAAAATCTAAACCCCCAAATTCTTCCTGACTAATTCCCAATAGAGAACACCCACCCAATTTGTTATTCTTTTCCCCACTATGCCTGGCAGAAACTGCCATGCTAGGTTGAACTTTCAGAGAGGAAGCAATCAATGCATTTCTGTTCATCAGCCAATAAATGGATGTGGTCAAAAATATTAAGTGCCAGAGGCACCACTGCCTGCAAGAAGTACAGTTTGTTATATTGCTTACAATGCAGTATTTTATCCAGCCTCTTCCAGCCAAGGACCTGTAAACGGGAGTCTGTTCCAAAACCTTCCTCCTCTTCCAGTTGTCTGTGCAATGTATTGGCACTGTTCTGCTGGGCTGTCAAAAAAACTGGTTTAGAGATGCAGCTCTTCAGTCAGGTTCTGCGCCAGTTCTAACCATGTAAATTTAATTCATTTTCTTTTTTGATAATCAGAAAAGAGGGGTGGGGGCATAGAGAAAGAGGGCCAAAGAATTCTTTGCAATAGGAGCTTACCATAATGTTCCATGTTTAATTATTAGAACCAGGGCCTACCTAAATTGATCTGGTGAGATCTCAGACCCAAGTAGTCAAGTGTACACATCCCTGAACCACTCTCATAACAAAACCTGTATCAGACATCTTATTGACTATTTCAGCAAAAAAAGAGACAAGCAAACAGGCAACTAGGACCAAAGTCCCACCTCTTTAGAATGGTTCCTCCACCCACTGGGGAGAACCAGGATCTAAGAACAGCTGTTGGAGAACAGGGCAACAGGGAAAAGGAAAATAGAAAAAGGATAAGAAAGAGATTACATTTTGGTGCAGACTATGCTCTCCTAGTTCTTTGAGTAAGTCTTTGGTACATTTAAACAATTATAAATTCATGCATAAAACGAAATGAATAGGAGCTAATGCAATGAGGTATTCCTGCACTCCAGGCAAAAAAGCAGGGGCAGAGAACAAAAAGAAATTCCTGTATTCTGAAGAATATACAGAGCTGAGGTACAAAGAGGGATGTGAGATACACAATGTGAGATGTTACAGAAGCACCTTCTAGCCAAAGTTAATCATGCAGGGCAGGAAACGATGTTCTAAGGAATGGAGAGCTGAAGCCACTGTATACTTTTGTGAAACAAAGGATGAACCTTGTGTAAATTCTCAGTCTTGGCAGTACTTACTGCAATTCATGTAAAGGATGAAAAAAGAGGATGATAGCATTTACATTTGTATCACAATTTATTTACCATTTGAATAAATGAATACACTCACTGGTATATGTCATGCACATACCCACACCGTCAAATGGTGAGAACAGACCTAATAACACTGATTGAAAAGTCCTGCTTCCTCAAACCACTGGGATTTGAGAATTTAATTAGTGAAATTCAATTTACTCCTAAAATCATTGTACTTTATTCTTACCTGAATTTTGAACAGTACAACTAACAAAAATTATCAGCTAAAATAAAGTAAACTTGAATGCAACCAGACTTAAAAATCATGCTATAGAAAAGTATTAAAAGGGGGTGGGGGGCTAAAAGCTCCACCTCTTCTTTTTCTCAATAAATTTAATTATTGCTACAGGTAAGGTCTGAAAATACAAAGCTAACAAATAATAGTAGTAGTCGTAATAATAAATCATCTTTGGAAGAAACTTCCAAAATCCAGTAAAAATATTTGGCAAAGAAACCCAAGCCACTACACACACAAACACAGGTAGAGAATGTAATTTGCTACAAGCTTCTGCTTACTTACCGGAGAACGGGTTTGAGGTTGTGAATTCATTGTCTGAGGGGCTTGAGGGTATACCAGCGTGGTTGGACCTGCATTCTGTCCAGAGGGATAAGGCGTCTGTCAAAGAATGGCAAGAACAACATAATATTTTGAAAAAAGATGGCATGGCAATTCAAGTTCAAGATGTTTTATAAAAGTTTATAGAAGTGGTTATTAATGTGGTTTACAGTTCTACTTTTTAACAATTTAACTTTATCACAATATCCAGTAACTCAAAATCAAGTGCAGTTCCTTTTTTTTTTTTTCCTTTAATTAATGAACTGGGGTCTCGCTCTGTCACCTGGGCTACAGTGCAATGGTGCAATCATGGCTTGGTGCAGCCTCAAACTCATGGTTTTAAGTGGATCCTCCCACCTCAGCCTCTGGAGTAGCTGGGACTACAGGCACACAGTACTGTGCTGGACTAATTTTTTATCTTTCTTTCTTTTTTCTTTTTGCAGAGACAGGGTCTCACTTTGTTGCCAAGGCTGGGCTCAAACTCCAGGCCTCAAGAAATACTCCTGCCTTGGCTTCCCAAAGCGCCCAAACAACTTTTTAATTTTTTTTAAGAGACAGAGTCTTGGTATTTGCCCAGGCTGGTCTCGAACTCCTGGGCTCAAGAGAGCCTCTCGCCTCATCCTCTTCAGCAGCTGGAACTACAGGCAAGAGCTTCCTTACCAGCTAGTGCAACACTTTTTAAGTTACCATAAATCTCCTGATAAAAGGACATCACCAACCCAAAATCTAGGTGTAATCATTTTTCTTTTTTTGTGCATTAAGGCATTTTATTTACAAGTATGTATTATGTTGCTAGAAAAAGCATCCCAGAACTTTCCCTCCTGTGTGTTTCACCTTGCCTCTTCAAGGTCTCTGATGCCAGGTAAGGTTGTAAGTGCAATGAAACAAAACCGACAGGATGAGAGCAGATTATTCTGCCATTTTTTTCTAGATCTTTGAGTTGCACATCATATCTCAGGCTGATCACTCCACACTTATTTAACCTGCCTGTGAGGTTCCCAACAATTTTTCCCTGCTCTCTGATCATCAATGATTTCAAATTTGCCAATGTAAATTGCCTTATCATGCCTCATCATCATGGTTAGAAGGAAAGCAAGACCTAGTAAGAATCTGGTGGTTACCTCTCTATTCAGCATTGTTGACGCTCCTGAGAGCATCAACCAGAACATTCATATACACAATTGTGGCAGCACAAAAAGATGAAGGAAACACTAGGTACAATTATTTGAAATTATCAATGCAAAGAGGACCTACTGTGAATTCATCTAGTTCTGAAATGGATAGCCCAAACCACAAACAATATCAAACATGGATGGATGAGAACACTTGCTTTTGCTATGGTGTGCTTTCCTTGAAGAAGACATCTCAGAGCCACAATTAGCAGTCTACACAGTTAACTGTTACATATTGCTGTAATCTTGCCAAGACTTACATACCTTAATCCTTTTAAATGATCCCATAAAAATCAATAACCAATAAGAACCTTATACAAAACCTTAGAATAAGTGATAATGTAATACACACGGCTAATTTACCATATATTTTCTGAAAATAAAAACATAAGCTTTTCATTGCAAATCCATGCCAATTGTTACTTTTTTTTTTTTTTTTTTTTTTTTTTTTTTTTTTGAGACAGAGTCTCACTCTGTCACCCAGGCTGGAGTGCAGTGGCCCGACCTCGGCTCACTGCAAGCTCCGCCTCCCGGGTTTACGCCATTCTCCTGCCTCAGCCTCCCGAGTAGCTGGGAGTACAGGCGCCCGCCACCACGCCCGGCTAGTTTTTTTGCATTTTTTAGTAGAGACGGGGTTTCACCGTGTTAGCCAGGATGGTCTCGATCTCCTGACCTCGTGATGCGCCCCGTCTCGGCCTCCCAAAGTGCTGGGATTACAGGCTTGAGCCACCGCGCCCGGCCCAATTGTTACTATTAAACTGTGTGCTATTCAATATTTTTTTTAAAAAATGCTTGTAACGTATTTAAAATGAAATGCCACCAAGAACAATGGACATATACTCACAAGACTTGGACTGAAATCCTAACAATTGCTACTGAATACCGTTGTTAGTTTGGGCAACTCATTTATCCTTCCCATGAATGTAAACAGGAACAACACACATACCTCTCAAGGCAGTTTGTGAAGATTAAATGAGAAAAAGTAAAATATTCCCAAAGCACCTTTATTTACCACTATCCCACAGCTATGAATGAGGAAACCAAGGACTGAAAAATTGAAGTATCTTACCTAAGAAAACAAAGTAAATAATATATCTGGAAAGTATTAGCATCTGTTGACCATTTAATGTTTAGCCGGATCACCAATTTTAAAGGAAATATTTGACAGGATTCATCATACCTTCCAAATAACAAAACAAAGCAAAATTTCTTTTTCTTTTTCTTTATGAGTCATACAAAACAAAATTAATGGCTTCATATTAGACATACAGGCTATCTGGCAATCTTTCAATATGGTAACCTTAATATAGCCATCTCTGTAGCTGACACTAAGGTTCAACATCAGATTGATTTCCTTTCCTACTCTAGTTCTACTAAATCTAGCCACTAACCTAAAAATATGGCAGTAAAGTATCTCATGTCTATCAAATAATTAATAAATGGGTCAAACACTACCTAAAACTTATTCAAAGTTTTCTTATCAACGATTATTTACAGCACTGTTTCAGACACAACATTTATGTGTATGTATCACATTCAAAATCTGAAAGGCTGCAAGTCTGACTATTTTAACTTAAAAAAACATGAGGAATGAATTTCTTATTAATTCTGGCTCCACTGAGATAGGGAAAGTATTTCTTCAACTTCTATTAGAGAATTTGGATATAGTTTTAAAAGAGAGCACCAATTTCATTCTTCATTAAATTAAAAAAAAATCAAGTATTCATAAGGTCATTTCTCAGTAATGGGGCTCTTTGATCTTAGGATATATTTTGACACTAATTTAATTTGGAGGTATTCTGAAGCAGGAATTTCTAAATGTCAAGATATTAAATATAACATTGAAATATATCACTTACAAAAACATAAAGAAATGTTGCCTCTTTCTATACTTCAAACAATTAGAGGAACACTTTGTTCTCTCATAGTTGTTGTACTATTGAAATAGAAAGGGAATCCATAGTATTTCATTGAACATGCTAAAAATATACATGACAACCTTATTTGACTTCAGTCAAAATTTTAACAATATTTTCAACACTCAAGCCAAATAAGGCAACATACAGCCAACTGAAAATGCAATATGTGAATTGGCAGTCAAAGATGAAGTTCTTCTGTTCAGAAAGAACACCCTCCCTGATCACACATATGGCTGGGGCTCTGTCAACAATGTTCCCAATGCGCCTTTTTCCAGATTATATCCTTGCTCTGAAAATGATTACTAAAAAAACAAAAAATTATTTTCTTATGTCTTAGGCTTTCTACTCTAAAAAGACTAAAAAAATAATAATCAAGTACTTCTTCTCATATTTACTTTGTACATATGCCAAGAGCTAATTCAGACTCTGTACACAAGTAGTTTCATCAAATGGAAAGCACAATCTCTAATGCAGCCACATACAGAAGTAATTGTTCTGTCACAATGTATGCCATTATACCATTAGCAATATGGAATGCTTAACAGAGGCACATGACAAAGAAATTTTGCTGATAGATCATTCAATGATCGTTCAGAGCATTTTTCCATTCTCTGTGGATGCCTTTAGAAACTTCTTAGGAATGGTATGACTTGTTACCTACCATTGCTGTAAGCAGTGCAACTGTAAAAGATGCCTCTACTCTTTTATCTCTTCTCTTCATTTAATGATTTATTCTAGAATAATTTCCTTAATTTACTACCATGCTTTGTTGAAAAATAATGTAAAAGTTTCAGTGGGAACATACTTTGACCATGTTTCACATCAAATGCATAGAAAACTAGGGACAGATCAATGAATAATCATTTCAATAATAATCAGAGCTTCTGTTTGTACTTTCCCTTTTCAAGTAATTTCAAAGTCATCACAAAGATTTACTTCTCCAAGGATATATGGATGAACACACAGAATTTACACTGCAATCCAGTATACTGTCCAAGTCGATGAGTTACAGACATCTGTTCTCATTTCCATTATTAATTTTATGTTTCAATAAACCTTTTTTAATACTTTTTATATTGGGGGAGATAAGAACGCAATAGTGACAGCAAACCCAGCAAACGATGTAAATTAATAATGTTACTGAAGAAAAGCCAATTACAACAGTCCTTATGGTGTATATATAACCCTTAAATCCCTAATGATGATGTTAAAAGCAGTGATTTGGACAGTCAACCACAGGTAGAAATGGTGAATTCCATTATAAGACAAAACAAACTAATACAGCATATCAAATATAACAAGACTCCAGACGTGATGGTTTTCAAACCACAGACATGCGAAAAAATAAATCTACATTTCCTATTTTCACAATACAGTACAACGGACTTAAGCTAACAAAAATAATTATAACATAAAACATTTATTTAGCTTTTACTAGGTTTCAGGTACTATTATAAGTACTTTATATAAAGTCAGAGATGACATGCCATTTCTCGTTTTAAGATTCTGCCATCACCTAAACTAAATTCTGCCATAAAGATTAAACTCAGTATTGTACACGCTGTATGTGAACAAACATAAATCTGACTAAAAAACTAAGCTGCCAACTTTTCAAAGAGCTATAAAGGGCCAGGTGTGGTGGCTCATGCCTGTAATCCTAGCACTTTGGGAGGTAGAGACAGGCAGATCACCTAAGGTCAGGAGCTCAAGACCAGCCTGGTCAACATGGTGAAACTCTGTCTCTACTAAAAATACAAAAATTAGCTGGGTATGGTGGTGGGCACCTGTAATCCCACCTACTTGGGAGGCTGAGACAGGACAATCGCTTGAACTCGGGAGGCAGAGGTTACAGTGAAACAAGATCGTACCACTGCAATCCAACCTAGATGATAAAAGCAAAACTTCATCTCAAAAAAAAAAAAAAATCTATAAGGTAATACCGAGTACATTTTAAATATGCTTATCCTTT